CTGAGCCTTCCACTCCACTGAGATCATGGTTATGGCTTTTGTCAACGACCTCCTGGTGACTTTCGATTCTGGGTTGGCGGTAGCTTTGGTCAGACTAGACATTTCCTCTGCTTTTGACACCATCGGTCACTGTCCTCCTGCACCACCTGCAGACTTTGGGACCGATGACGCCATTCTTTGGATGAGATCTTGCCTGACTGGCCATTCTAGCTTCAGCAAACATGGACAAGATAATTCCAGCATCGTTCCGTCTGTTTGGCATCCCACAGGGTTATAGTTTTGGCCCATTCTCTTTGCAGCTTACAGATCATACATAATTTCCGTGTATCTGTACATCAATGTGCTTATGACACTCAGCTCTTTTGGTCCTATTTAAATAAACTTGCTCTCATAATGTCCATCAGCTCTCCAACACTGGCTGACACTCAACAACCTACGACTCAACCCGTCAAAGTCGGGCCATGATTTTTGCAATTCATCAGAAATTACGAAGTGTCAACGTGCCAGTTTCCATTCTCATGGTGGGCAATATTACACTGGACAAACATCTTTGGATTACGTCTTAGCGAGTTCATTCAGTTATACACTTACTATCCACGAACTCTACGTCATCGATAAGGATGTTGAAATTGCATAGATAAGGATGTTGCATATACCATCGTATGTGATATAGTTGCTTTCTTTTGTACGGAGTAAACAATGGCCTCCAAACATCTCCAGGGTCTCCAAAACATCCTCCTCATCAGAGTAATTTGCCTGGCCTCACCTCTTAAGAGCTCTGCAAACCTGAAGGAGCTGCACTGGTTACCAATGTGTGTGAGTCCAGTTCAACCTTGCAGCTCCAGCTCTTGTAACAAGGAAACATGGTCAACCAACTTACCTGAGCAATACCATCTACCATATGTACCAACACGAAATCTAAACTTATCTGGTATAGACCTGCTGTGTGAAATCCACTTGACCTGGGACAGCAGTATGGAACTTTTCATTTGCAGCCCCGGTGGTCTAGAACATTCTTGCCAAATTAAGTCTGATCAGCCTTGACAATCGGCGCTTTCAAAACCAGACTTCAAACACTCATTTTATCTGTTGAGTTTAATTTATTTTAATTTTCTATGCGACATCCGCACTTCCGTTTCTATTTTTGCTGAATATGGCGGCTTATAAATATTGGATTGACTTGCTCACCAAGTGGTTCTCATTTTATCAACCCCTGAGGGATAATGCATTGAGTCAACCCCCAACCAGGATTTGAACACTTATATCTTCCAATTGCAAGCTGCTCACTCTACCGCTGAGCCACCTTACATAGTGCGGTAAAACACAGTTATTATTTGCATTTTAATAAGTGTTTGCCTCAGTTAAAAAGGTGTTTATTACTTGATAATGAAATATCTATATGTGCAGCAAAGCCATAACCAGTCTATCACCATTTATTTTTCATGTAGTTAGCGGCCGTGCAACAAAGCCGAGTTTAATGACCCTGGCACAGCGCGCTGACCATTGCGCCTCGTGGCTGCCTTATCAGGCACTGTGCAGCGTGTGGTCTTCGCACTGCTAGGCCGTGCAATGCAGCTGCACATTTGCCTCGCAGATCTCGACGTGCAGGGCCACGATGTGACCAAACTGGCGTCCATGGCCAAGCTGAAGGCTGGTCGCCTGGTGCGTGAGCTCACTGACGCGTGCCTGCAGTTCTGGGGCGGCATGGGCTTCACCAATGAGGTTTACGTGAGCCGTCTCTTCAGGTGAGCCGTATATCTCAGAGAGCTGCTTGATGACACTGCATGCCACCTTCATATGAGCTGTGGCACTGAAATATGTTTTCATTTCAGGAATATAAACCACGACGTTTTGTTTTCCCAGGGATGGCAGATTAATTTCTATTGCTGGTGGTGCAGATGAAGTTATGCTCTCCATCATCTGTAAGCACATGGGAACCCTACCAGGCAAATAGGAAAACAGCAATCAAGACCTCACATGGGCTCCATCGCAAAAATACTGATGAAAATGTATTGTACCCATAACCAAATATAAGCAAACATCTTGACCAGTTTTGTTTTAAGCCCAGGAAACCCTGTAATGACAGCCTTTCCCTGGGTGGTATGTGACTCAACACCAGCCTGAAAGTGGCCATTTGTTTACTAGTAAGGGAAGATGATTGCATATATAATCCCATTTGAGCTGCTATGCTGTGTAATCCGTTCTTAAGCATGGGAAGTCTAAAAAAATTTATCAGGAGGTTCCTTCGAAGTTTTCAAATGACTACAAAATTTGCATTCGAGTCATTTGCGGTCTCATATATTAAAAAAATTTGGACTGACATGAGCATACAATGGTGTAATCTTTTTCCGATGACGTTGCGAGATCTTTAACGTCCACTGCAGGGAAAACTGTGTGCAGTTTTAATAGGTAATACACACCTCGGTGTTAACCAGGGTGGCCTACCGGTTTCAAACCGAGGACCTCTGCAACAAGCGAATGTGCTGCCGCTTGGCCACGTCATCGTGAATTGACTAAGACTACAGCAGTGTTCAGTCCTGCATAGTGAGTTGTGCCTGGCTCTTCTAAGTTCATTGATGCAGCTGCCTCTACAGCATTACTTTCTGCAAAAGAGTAATTAACTCTCTTCGTGGTCTCATGGCAGTGAAGCTGTTGATATAATGTTGATGCGTAATGACCTATAAATGACACTCATTATGTCACAGATGAAAGTGTTGGTAATATTTTCATATTGGCAAGCTGTTTTTAATAAACCATTCATGATGTTGTCCTTTGTGTTGATATTTCAAACCTTAATATCACCAGGGACTTAAGAAATGTGCACTTACAATCACTACAATGACTGCTGCTCCTGGTATATATAGTATATACCGGTTTAATTGAACTCGCTGCTTCCATCTAATTGATGGCTCCAGCTACGATTTTGTCAGTGAGATCTGAGTGGTTATGAAAGTGAATTTGAATAAATGTTATAAATGTTAGATTTCGCACGTCCTCATTACAAACATGCCTACGTAACATGGAAATGTTTTCTCCCATTTATATGGGGTTTGCTTAAATTCTTCGGCACCTAAACGTGTCTTGCATCACATCTCAATAGGGCATCCCCAGTAGCTGTCACCGTGCAGCACAAGGACATGTCCACTGTGAAGCAGATGGTTGTGCAGTATTTTACAGTTAATAAACCCGCGGTATTAACCTGGATGGCCTACCAAATACGAACTGCTAACCTCAGCAACATGTGGTTCACGTGGTTGCGCTGGGTCACATCAACCCCACCCAAATGTGGGGCCAGTGGGGGGGGAAAGATGTAGAGTAGGCTTGCCGTGATAGTAATTACATTATGAAGGATATGCTATTGAACTTAATGATATGGCGATGTCAGCCATGCCTGTGAATCGAATTTTGGTCACTCATTAGTGTAGTGTGCTAACTCTTCTGCCACCGCTTCAACCCTAAATACTCAGGTTAAATACCCCTAATTAGTCCTTATGCAGAATGTAAAATTAAATCAAGCAAGTCAACACGTGACAGTGGGGTTGTGGATTTCAGGTCTTGCATCTAAGAGGCAACAGAGAAATTCTGAAATCTGAAATACCCCAAAACACAACAGGAGTTCCACGAGTACAGGCACAATAAAGAGCCACTGATAAATTCGATTACAGTCACAGCTTGGTTTTCTATAGATTTATTCTCAACCTCATACCCTAGATTTCTATTGTCCAAATGTACATAAACCATAGTATAAGTTCTACAACGTCTGAATTACTCGTCTCAAATTGTGGGCCGACCAAAATAAACTTATTTCAGGTCAAGGATAAATCAAGTACTGTAACTGGGATTTGCAAAGAACTCGAGAATATGCAACGATTTCCAGGTTACAGGGCATTGAGATAAAATGGGTCACGGACAAAATGGTAATGGCAGTAGAAAGTACTTGGTTAGGTTATATCAAGATCAACAAAGTCCTAATAGCTAGCAATGAATGCCCAGACCAGTGCACATTCATGGAAGCAGGGGTGTAATTCTAAGCCACAGGCCTCATACAAAAGCCCAAATGGGGCAACCGAGATTGCAAGCTCAGGTTGCAGACACGTCAAGCAGGGCTGCGCAGGTCGCAGAGTTGCAGGTCTTGGCACAAGCTGAGCAAGGTGCAGAGGTCATGAGTGCACAGATCTGAGACACAGGACAAGCTGAGCTACAAAGTGGACTTGCCGGTCTTGTTATAAACCGAGCAATGTGCAATCGCAAGCTTGGAGGTCACAGACACAGGTCAAGCAACACTGCACAGGTCGTTGATTCAGAGGTCTCAGGCACAAGCCGAGCAACATAGGTGCTTGCAGATGTAAAGACAGTACAGGGGACTAGCGGTCACAGGGGGTAATGACAGGGGAATTAGAATGGTAAGATACTCAGGGCCACGGGGTAATTACAGGTTAAGGGACAGACGGGAACGATCTGGGGTCAACGAGAAGGATCGAGAATAGGGGCTGTGGCCAAGTGATAGAAGGGGACAGGTGCGGATCAAGGATCGAGAGCTAGCGAGAGGGTTTGAGAATAGGGGCGTGGCCAAGGGTCAAAGGATGGCCAAGCTGGGGATAAAAGGGGTCTCGAGGAGAGGCTTGGGGCTGCTGCTGGAGTTGGGGTTTTCACTGTCAAGTAATCATCAAAAGGCAGTGTCTCCTGGAGTCATTACACAAGTTTGCAGGTTATAAAGGTCTTGGACGTGGACGGAGGAGAGTTGCACAATTCTCTGGGTCTAAAGGTTTTTAGCATGGCCCGAGCAAAGTTGCACAGAATTGAAGGTCTCAGTCCAAACTGAGTAGAGTTGTAGCCAGAGGTGGTTAGGTTGCAGGGCTGAGTTAGGTTACAGTAAGCACTGTGGACCAGCTCCCAGGTGTCTATTGTTTTTCAAACACTTTATAGAGACATACTCTCTGGAATATCCACTCACGGATACTGTAATACCACTGAGATCACAGCTGTCTCTAGGGTACGGCAAATCCGGATGACCACCCCAGGCCTCGTGCTTTGAGGGGGCCCGTGCTTTGACATCACGGTGTCAGATGTAATAGGACAATCATCGACTTACGAATATAATTAGTTCCTGGGATCCGTTTGTAAGTCGGATCACTAATGTAAGTCGGAACACTAATGTACTGTATTTAAATGGGCATACGGTCAGTTTCGATTTAAAGCTTTCGCGACTGCAGGGATTCATCTTCTTGGTTCTTTCGGTAAAGCCACGTAGAATGGAAATAATAAAATAATAAAAATAAAACATAATAAAATAATTCTCACGACGTTTCGGCCAGAACACAAGCAGCCGTCCTCAGGTGAAGAACAGGTCTATCGAGAAGACAAAGTCTGAATGACAACCCTAGGCTTGGAGCGTCTTTTTTTAAGCTGGGTTGAAGGGGGGGAGAGCGCCTTGATAAAATAATTTGCATATCAAGAGGAATTTAGCATATTTATGGGAAATGCAGATATGCGATTAGTACTACTTGTGAGATGCGTAGGAGGTTTGGCGAGGGGTTTTAAGTCATTATGCCCGTGCATTATGCAGGATTAGCAGCATCAAAGGGAGGGGGTAGGGGTAGCATTAATAAAGAGAAGGAATGTTAATAGTATGTATCTGCAGTAACTAAACCACCACGTAAACAACTAAAGTATAAACTACATAGTATAATCAGTATAATAAATATACTCTTCAATAAGCTGAGCTACTAACAGTAAGTAACAGTAAGTAATACATACTAACAGTAAGTAATAAAAAAAAGACGCTCCAAGCCTGGGGTTGTCATTCAGACTCTGTTTTCTTGGCAGACCTGTTCTTCACCTGAGGACGGCTGCTTGCGCTGTGGCCGAAACGTCGTGAGAATTATTGTTTTATTTTTCTTTTAATATTTCCATTCTACGTGACTTTACCGAAAGAACCAAGAAAACATACGGTCAGTGTTATGAAATGTGTTATGGTTCAACAAAAAGGGAAGCATTGTTAAACTCATAAATAAAACATTTACATGTGAATGTGTAGTGACTAACTCGGAGACGATAAGACTTGGAGGCACTTTATTAACAAGCACCATCGGGTTTAACACTCTTAATAGTTAGTTAATCTATTGTCGGCGACGCTACTCAGTCAGGACAGTTGGTAGGCTGCCTGACTGGTGACGCCCTGAGACGGTGAAGACGGCGAGAAGAATGGTGACAAAGACTTCAGCAACACGACGGGGATCCCACTCCAACAACAGCCCCGAGGTCCCCGACAGGGGCGACTCATATACCTGTCAGCATGGCCTGGCTACACCCCCTTTCTGGAAGCTCCTGGCGGGTTCTTGGTGTGCCCCTTCTGTGACCTTTCCCCCAGATCCCCCTCTGGTGTTTATCCTGACCTTCTGACTTCAGGGCTACTGTAAGCCGCAGATCCCCGTCCCTGCCAGCAGCCAGCGCTATGATACTGTATAGTAAATAAAACATGAACTAAAGTAACATGAATAGAAAATATAATGTTTTATTTTCACTTACCTTGAGTCCTGATGCTGGCTTGCTTATTGGAAGGGGCGCAATGAGTAACCACAATTGCACAGATACAAACACACTGGGCACGTGCGCACGCAAGACAAAGGACACTCCAACGACGCCCCATATAGCCTTATCAGGCTGTTTGGTCAAATGCTATTAGAGAGCAGCGCCTATGAATGCTGGCACAGCACACAAGAAGGTGAGTAGCCAGCACCACGCCTGGCTGCCTTTGTATCTCCAGTGGTAATGGTTACACTGCAACAGATACTCATTTGAGACTGAGTCGACCTAGGGGAGGCCCAGGACCTATTCAGATAAACGTCACTGGTGTTGGTCGTGAGTGGAAATCGAACTCGCGAGGCAGGTTGGTAGCACAGTGCGATAACCATTGCACTACTGCTCCCCCTACACGCACGGACACACACACACAAAAGACAAAGATCTCCATTTTTAGCTTTAACCAGAGGTGGGCCGTCAGGGCCAGCAAGGCATTCTCTGCTGGCCTAGAGATTGTCAGAATCAGAAAATTATATTTTTTATAATTTAATATATACTTTCATTAACGCGATATGTATTTTTCAAAGTTCGTTCCCATCAATCTATTAACATCATTTCATTGTTACTCTCTCAGTTGTGCTGCTCCCAGTGCAGCTCATATAAATTAGAGCTTTTATCAAATCAGATTTTCCACCTGTGCTGTCTCCGCCTCTCGGGGTAAAAAATATACCTGAGGCCTTCAGGATTTCGAGTGAATCCCCTCTGCTGTTGAAGCAAATCGGGACGATGTTGTTGATTGTCATTCTTTACCCAATCACATTTCGAGTTTGCCATGTTGGGCGTATTCTTTGACACGCCCGAGCCTTCGAGCTGGCCTAGCAGCCTCTGTTATAATTTTTTGTGTGGCGTGATCGGAGGGCCAGTTCGCTAACCGAAGTAAAACTAGCTCGCACATAACGTAGCATCATCTAAGATGTATTTAAACTTTCTTTTGTGACGTTTAGATTTTTAGATGTAGTGCTTTAGATTTTTTGTTTAGATTTTTTATTAGCCCTGTTGTTTTTTTAACGCACAATGGCTGCAGGAGGAGAAGAAATGGATTTGGTGGCGGATTTACTGGCCAATCCTTTTTTAAGAAGGACCTTTCAGGAAAAGCCGGGCCTGTTACTAGCTATTACTGGTAGGAACGAAGTGGACCAGCCGACAATAGATTATTTCGTCCGTCCGTCCGATGTCCGATTACGTG